TAGAAAAATATGTAGAACCCGATGGAAAAGAAATAGAACAACTGGCCAATATGCGACAATGGATGATGAATCATCATGATCTTGATCAAAACATTGATGCTAAAAAAATCAAACAAGGAGTGAAAGATCAATTTCAATCATCATTAACACAGATGACTCTCTATGCATTAGGCGAACATACCACTGCACAAATAGGTGAACTCTGTTATGGTGATATGAATGATGTGTTCAACGTTTTGTTAGATAATATTGCTCAAATTTAGTTGTATTTTGATCTAAACTTTTTTTTTCTCACGATATCGACAAGTAAGAATAGTCATAGTGCTTTGAATCACAAGAAGAATGCACTTGTTTTAATACAAACAGAAACTTGTCTCCTAACGAAACAATACAGTCACAAATATTATTTTCAAAGAACGTTCTTATGAGAACGACGGGGGGGGGGGGGGGGCTGAATCCTCTGATTTCTTTTTTATGCCGTAGAACCCACTGAGTAAAACGTAACCTGTATTTTGTTACAATTGTTCGATTTTGTTTTGATCTAATTATCGAATTAAGGGTGTGGGGTGTGGATTGTCAATGAAGAGAAGACCCACACCCACACTCATCAGTATGATCAATGTGCATCAAAAACGATACCATTCAGTCAATTTTAATAACTATATCGTTGAAATACGATATATCATGATACACCACTTTCAAAAAAAAACAATCGTCAGTATAGCATGCATTATTTCAATCAAAATATCGACACTAATTATTACATGAGTAGATTAATAAGTATATACTTTGTACAAACACTACGACTTCAACAAAGTTATTAGTATAACTTCTTTCTATAGTTACATTTGATAAAGATAGAATAGAATAAAATGTAATAAAAGAAACAAAATCACAATAATCGAAACGATATGAATTTGTGTTTAAATTTTTTTAAAATTTCAGTAAGAAAACTTAATATATTTTAGGTACCTGAAGTGAATCCAAATGCTGAATTAATATTACCACCATGTCCAATAAGTCAACAAGAATCGAATTGGCCATTATTAGTTGCATCAAAAGAATTTTTTGAAGGTGCAATGATCAAGCGAAATCAACCAACATCAACAACAGCAGGTTTAACATCAAATATATCAACAAAACTTTCTGCAAATCTTCATATTGATGAAACAGCAACAAGTGGCGGAGATTGGGCTGATGATGAAGTACAAATTTATTAATTGAATTATCACCTGATTTTGTATGTTATTGATTTTTTCTTCAATATGAAATGAAAGAATAACATATTTCTTTATTTTACGAAACAAGTGGTGGAACTGATGATGAAGAAAATGCAAGTGGATATTTTGTAGTACCAACAACAAGGTCAATCAGTTCCACCA